GGGGGGGGGGAGTCTACTGACAGCATCAAGTACAGGGATGAGAGTACGGACTGTTGTGTATTGGATCACTTGAGCTGCAGCTTGGTATAGAGATCGGCTGCTCGGGATAACGACTGAATCGATACGGGATAACCCCGACCCATCTGCAGAAAAAAACCGAGACAAACTTTAAAAGGAATCATCAAAATCTAGGGATAGCTGGAGGGCGAGCTTTATCACACGACACAGAATGTCAGTAAATGATCAGTTTCGGCAAGCCTAGTTTCGAACGTCTAAGAACAGGAGATGTATAACAATAGCCGGGAACAGTTCGAGGAGTCTTTGGTATATCGATATCAAGCGAGAAACTAACGAAAGGTACGAAAGAATCTCTAAAAAAAGGAGCATGAGATTTGATTGGAAGCTTACCGTACTGCATAAGTGGAATGCATTCACATAACCAGCATACTTTGAAGCTGTGCAGGAGGAAGCAACAGTTAGCTATCAATTCAGCCATGGATTAAAAGCAGACAACCTGCTTAGTTATGGAACACTTCGAAAGACTAGTTTCAGGCTTACTCTTTTTCAACCCGGCGGGCTTTGCCTGTAAAAGAGCATTCATAAACGCACCAACATTCTCCCGTAAAGCCTCCTCCGGAAAGCTCAACTGCAGAGGTAGGAGTTAAATCTTCCATGAATGATGAAATCGGCATACCTTTCACCTAAAAATCTCAGTTTCGGGTCCAGTGGAGAGGGAGACCATACCTTTCCAAGCGGCACATGTAAGATAGAAGTTTTGTCCATTCTAAATTTGGTGTGACCAGCCTTTGCGTCTTTGACAGCCTTTGCAACATCCTTGGTCACACTGCCTTGCTACAACAATGTATCCCTTAAAATCACTTAAGAGGGGAATGAACGGTATTATCAATCCATAGATTAGATTAAGATGTTAGGAAAAAATGTCACTCACTTTGGGGTTTGGCATCAAACCATGATTGTTAAGAATCCTTGATATCTGCAGATTATTCACAAATCATTCTCTGTCCATCTCTTTTCAATCCCAACGAAATTTTGATAAGTTGCTCGAAAATAAAACAAAACCTTATAAACACGAGGCATCATTTGGGGAGTTGCAAAACATCTGTCGAAATCAATCTTGCCGCTCTCTGCAGATAAAGAGTTAAACCAGAATAAACAACCTGCTTGCTAACCTAACTGGCAAAAATCCAAATAAATAACGGTAAGAGTTAAATGGAATTCGATATTCAATTACTTAATCAGAGGTGGCCAAATGGATTCATCATTGACAATGTATGCATTAGCACTAGCGCAGATGCGCATAAGAGAAAACAAGAACAAGGAGATGAACTATAACAAGCAATAACATCTCTTTTTTTTTGCATTTAAGACAAAAAAAAGGTGAAACTCGTCACTATCAACATGGCAGTCAAATTCAATAATTCATTACTTGAGATTTCCTCGATAAGGTCAAGACCGCCTACGATATCTGCTCCTGCAGCCCTAGCATCCTCTGCATCAGAACCTTCAGAAAAGAACGCCACTTTCACCCCCTGAAAGATGAAACCGTTGCTTAAGAAACCGTAAATACCCGATAAATAAAAAATTAAGGCCGTGATAGATAACAACCATAGTTTTAGTACCTTCTTCACGGAATGGGGTAGAGCCAAAGTACCACGAACTATCTGCAGTTTAAACAGTGACAGTGATTAATCGGGATGCAAAAGCCATATATACAAATCCCAGATATAGAAAATCAGAAAACGGGCAAATGTCATATGGTTAGAATGGGAATCGATGGGCAAGAAGAAACCAAAATATAAACTTTTCTCCGGAGAAAGATCTGTTAATATGAGAAAATCAAAATACCAGCTCAGATCGGCCTCTTTCAATACCCAATCTCACATGTGCCTCTAGAGTCTCGTCGAATTTTGCCTTGGCGTTGGCCTGTACCATTGGTAGAAACAGACAGCAACAACAAAGAAAAGACAGTTGCTAATGAGAAACTCAACTTTAAATCAAAATATTCCCTGTGACTTCCTCCTCTTCCTCCCTTACCATACTAAATCTGAACCAGAACATTGCATGACAAATTTTACAATGCTGAATACCCTTACAAGATTCACCATTACACAAGAACTAGAAGACAGTAGCCCATCCTATATTCCTATGTCTTGTTCTCGATACCGAACAAGTGAAAGTTTCAGTCTTTTCATACCTAAGCCTGAGGTGTAACTTTCTATGGTCTCTTATGAGCTAAGTTCTGCTATTGTTCACACATGGCAGGAAAGAAAAAGTCCTAAGCATAGTCTCTTCCCAGCTTCCATTTGAGACGTTTTCATGTTCATGGAGCAAAATGTACGGTTCTAGCGATTATAGCTTCCATTATAGCAGTTCCTTAAGCTTTGAAGCTAACCTTTATCTCTCTTATGGCGTCCATGAGATCGAAAACAGGTCTCTTTCCCTGCTTCAGCTCCGGCTTAAGCAATGTTGGCAATGGAAGCGAAGCAGTATCATCTTCCACCGGAGAAGCTCTGAAATACCGTCTCCTGGCCCGATTATCCGCTTCGATCCTCTTCCTTTCCTTCTCCATCTCCTCCGCGTTCTCCTCCGCTCCCGAAGCCACGATTCGATCCTCCGGAAGCGGAGCCACACGCTTCGGGTACGACACCGGTGAGATCGAAGGAGCATCCTTCACGTAGCGAATTTCCTCGCGCGTCCAGCTCGTGCGAGCCTCCGTAGCCACCGAATCCGGGAACCCCTGTGGCTGACGACTCTGCGCCGATTCGTCCTGCGGCCGCGAAGAAGCATCTTCTGCGGTGGGGTCTTTGGGTTTGACGGCGTAGGATACTGGTTGGACAGTGGCGGGCTTTCTCGGGGATTCGCTCGGATTCGGATCCGGCGAAGGATTCGAATCGGAGGACGAGGAAGAGAGGTGTCTGGGGAAGTGTGGAAATGGAGAAGAGAATGGCTTGGTGATGCCATGGCGACGAGCTTGAGAGAGTAGAAGCTTCATGGCTGCCATTGTTGTCTCTTCCGCTGAGGTTTTTCGGCGACACGGCGGTTTTGGGGTTTAAGGAGGTTTCGTTTATTTCCCCAACAAAACGCTATGAATTGCGTTCGCGACCAAAAAACACGAAATTTTTATTTTATTTTTTTGTCACTTTTACATTTGTTTTCCAAATAAAAATAAAATGATAAATAAAAACAAAATTATTAGAACATTTTTCGGAGTTCAAAATAGATGTATTCGGATACTCTAACCCTAGTATCGTTGCCGTGATCGGATCTCACGAACCCTGATCGATCCGGATACCCGTGAAAACGAATTTCACCCATAAGCCACTAAAATCCAACCCGACGAGTTTTCGTCGTTATTCGGATCCGAATTTATTCTGTCGATGGATGAATACTCGATTTCCAAACTTTCCATCCTAATCTTAGCTCGGATTCATCATCATTGGATCCGAAATTACTATGACGATGGACGAATACACGATTTTCAAATTTTCAACCCGCGAAAATTCGGAAACCCTAGCGAGTGTGAGTGAAACACCGATATCTGTGTTTAATGTTATCTGACGTGATTGGACTTTAACTGCGGCAGTAGTTTGGACAGGATACAACAGGAAAAGATTTGTCCAAAGGGGGGTTTCAAAAATGGCTCAACTGTCCCAACAGAAGATCGAACATGTCGTCGGGAGTCAGAAGAGTCGTTCCTCCGATAGCCAGTTCGATATCCGGGCTTCCGCTTTCCGACACCGCCTCCTGAGCTTCCAGAACCTTCTCACCGACAACACAGAAGATACCATCATTACTATGGCATTTACATACGAACCAGAGCCTAAACCCCAAGGCTTGAATTATCTTACCTCGAGACCGTTGATTCCCCCGACGACAAAGACAAGAATCACGCTTTGATCCGCAATACTCGGTTTCGCCTGCACAGTTTGTGTCGGTCGGGTCGGGATTTCGATGTTCATAGCGAGAGAAAAAAGCAAAAGTCTAGAAGGAGACTAACCTGGCCAAGGCCAAACCTACCAAACCCGCTTTTGAAAAGCCTTCCCACGGTAGATGAGTGGTATTCTAAGCCATGTATCTCGTTTTTGCTCAACACCCTTGTCAGAATTCTGTATAGTAACCCTTTGCTTCCTGATGGATCCCCGCTTTCGAAAGCCAACGACCCGTCCTTCAGTGGCTGATTTCTCGTTCTCAAACTCGATAGTTTGTGGAGAAACCTAAACAGGTTGTCCACCCGATCCCGCAAGTCCAGTTTCAACTGCATATCGTCGTAGGATTCATCTCCTTTACTATGATCGGCATTTTCTTCTTCTTCTTCCTCGTCACCCCATTTACCCCATGGGTCATCGTCAAGAGCGTC